CTGACTGAAAAACTGCTAATAAGCAAATCCCAGGTGATTGGAACAAAATACTGAGGCGGACTTTTACTTTCTGAACCTGGACTTTACTCTTCTGAAGAGAACAGAAAAAGAGATGACACAGATGAAATCACCTGAAAAGAAGACATTAAATCTGAAGATCTCAGCAGAGGAGGATTAAACAACTCCACAAACAGCATTACCAGCTTCACTTATTACTAACCAGACTGACTTTATTTCTGTCCGACTTCTACAGAAGATTTTATTGAGAATTAACAGAGGTTTACTCTGTGTTTCATTTGAAGTCACCATAACAGTGATTAGTGTTTCCATTAGCCAGGCTCTTTACTCTTATAATATATTTGATCTCTTCTGTCTGCTGTGACATTGTGTTTGTCAAACACATTTACAGTAACAAAGTTTAACGGAATCAGGTGATGAACATTACCTGGTGATGGTTTTATAATCATCATGAAAAAGCCTGATTCACTGTGGTATTTCATTATAATAATTATTTTGACAAATTATTTAAAAAAAAAAAACCTGTGACTAGGGCTGAGCGATGTATAGCACAATATTGTTATGCGCGTCTAATCAGTGAAGCCGGTTCCTTGATTAGTAGTAAATCACCTTCACCTGCTTTCAGATGGACCATACGAGTGTTAAATTAACACTCAAGAGTGTTAAAGTTAATGAGATAATTAAGTGATTAATTTAGTGATGATTGAGCATTATTGAAGACACCTGATGATAACAAGCAGAATCACTGAAGGAGAAAATCACAAATTGTAAGTCACCGTTATGGAGATCAGTCTTTGCTTTAGTTGGGCTCTTGACACTTTTACTTTCACTTTAAACTTTTTTTGACTGCTGTTATTGATTTATAACAGTCAAATGAACAAAGACAACTGTGATATGACAGTGTACTGTAGGTTGTTTTGGCATAATCATGCTGTGATCTGTAAAAAGAAACTTTTCATATAATTTGGTTTAACTTGATAACAACATTTTAGTGGTTATAAAGCATATGATTATCAATATTTTTCTGATATTCCAAAATATTTAATATAAATTATTCTGATCAAATCACTTTCAAATGCATTTATTTAGAAACACAGACATCAATAATCAGCCTGTGAATCTCAACCGTGGTGACCACATAATCCTTGTTGCCACCAATCACAACTCATTAATGGCTCCCATCATGCATTGCAGTATGAATAAATTATTATCTGAATTGTCTATGTAAATTACTTTTCCTACTTGAATATTCTGCTCGTCACCGTTGTTGAGGAGCATTGACTGAATCTTGAGGTCTGTGCGTGCCTTTACTAATTTTTTTTTTTTTTTTTACAACTTTTAAGAAATCCTTTACATTATAAATTCTGGATATTTATGCAGAATCTCAGTTATGCTGTAACCAACAAAATAAATCACAAATAATAAATTCAAATGACGATTGTCACAATATAACCAAAACTATTAGTTTGTATGTTTTTTTCTTTGTTCATCTGACTGTTTTAACTCAGATACAACAGTCAAACAAAACCTAAAGTTAATGTAAGGCTCAAGAGCCCAACTAAAGGCTGATCTCTGATCTCTACACTGATCTCTATAATGGTAACCAATTACGATTTTCTCCTTCAGAGATTCTGATGGTATGGTGACTTCAAATGAAACACAGAGTAAACCTCTGTTAATTCTCAATAAAATCTTCTGTAGAAGTCTGACAGAAATAAAGTCAGTCTGGTTAGTAATAAGTGAAGCTGGTAATGCTGTTTGTGGAGTTGTTTAATCCTCCTCTGTTGAGATCTTCAGATTTAATGTCTTCTCTTCAGGTGATTTCATTTAAGACTGTGTCATCTCCTTTTCTATTCTCTTCAGAAGAGTAAAGTCCAGGTTCAGAAAGTAAAAGTCCGCCTCAGTATTTTGTTCCAATCACCTGGATTTGCTTATTAGCAGTTTTTCAGCCAGGAGACAGAAATCAGAAATCAGATTGGCAGGTCTGCTGTTATAGATAATGTTTGATTCATACAGGAACTTTGTGCCTATAAAAGCTCTGAACGTGTGATTTATATAAATAATTAATGGCCTTATTCTATGTTTACACTAACCATGGTAGGCTATAAATGCATGTTTTGGTTATTGGGGGACTATGCCCCATGTCATGTCTGATAGAAGTTTATCATTTTAAAATTACTTATCAATTTTAAAACACCTATTAACTGATATATATATATATATATAATTAATTTTTTTTTATCAGTCAAAAAATAAATATTATTAAAATTAATTTATTGTGGTTTTGTGTCCAGTGAAAATCAGCCCTGACTGCAAATAGTATTACAAACAACTGTAACATTTCTATTAAAAATACTATTTTTAACCATGTAAAATACTCACATTAGTGCGTTGAGTTCACAGTGTTTATCCTGCAGTAGAGCAGCGATCTGATTCACTCGTGTGTCTCCTAGTTCACGTTCACTCAGATTCAGCTCTCTCGTGAATAATGGGTTTTTACCCACAATTCCAGTCACATACTGACAGGCTTCATCTGCAGCAGGACTCAAAAACCTGCAGAAGAGAAGATGAAGCAGAATTCAGTTAAATTCTCAACTGCACTTGGTGTAATGACAAAATCCATTTTACATGATTTCTGTCTTGAAATCACTTAATCAACTTTGATGTAACAACATATTATGTAGCTTATTGTATTATTGAAATTATATTTCTATAATTCGGCTGCATATAATGAATTTTGATTCATTAAAAATCAATTAAACAATAGTATTTCCTCATGTCTCACCTCAGTGTCTTCAGTTGACAGTTTGGATCCTGCAGTAAATCACTGAACTGCTTCACTCCTGATTCTCCATGATCATTTCCTCTGAGATCCATCTCTATCAGGTGTGAAGGGTTTGATCTCAGAGCTGAAGCCAGAGCTTTATAACCTTCTTCAGTGATACTGCAGTCTGAAAGTCTAGAAAAAAAGACAATGTTATATTTAGATAATTAATCTGTTATTTTAGAAAGTACCTGAACAAAGTAAATTAAATTAAATAAACTGAATTATATTTTGTTCCTTGTACAAAAAAATATAGTCGGTTGAAAAACAAAAAGAGACAAATGGAAATTGCAGTCAAACAAAAGGCCCCAAAGAAGCAATGTCAACGCTTATCGCCACGCATTGATTTTCAATATATTTTTTTACTTAGCCTATTTAAAATCGTATTTGATTGCAGAGCACCGTCGCATTGATACAGTACTACCTCTCTCACTCTAACTCATTATTTTTACAAAAATATTCCACGTACACACTGCAGCTAAATTCGTTTGTCAGTTCACCTTTTAGTGCTTAATCCTGATTTGTACTAACAGAGTGTACAGAATGACAACCACATTCAACAACTGAATTAACTCCCTAAAAATGCAGGTAGTGACAACCGCAAAATGCTATGCAGTGTGTATAGAACAGAACTGAACAGCTAGTTGTTAATGACGTATTTTATCATGCATGAAAAAATCTTCTTATGCGCGAAGCAAGAAATCACCGCAAAAGCGGTTTGAACCTCATTTGTATTGTCACCAAAATATTGTGACCCGCACTTTAATTACATAATAAAGTCGATTGCTTTAACATGCAACCCCAAATATGCTTATAATAAGTGGACATGGCAACACTGTAAAAGCACACTCTTTCAAACAGCCTTTGCAAGGATAAAAACACGATGCCTCCGTCGACTGTGCTTTAGTTAAAATTGCTTAACCTGTTAGCCAGCAACCCCACTTTTGAGAAATCCGTGTACATGCGTATTAAGAGTTCATTCTATGGGTATGAGTGTCTGAATTATATGTGCGCTGTTGTTGACGTCCCAGTCATCCAGAGAGACTTCAGTTTGAGCGATCACTTCCAAAAGGTATTTGAAGTATCTGAGAAAAGCCGGAGTTGATCATTAACTCGTGTGAAGTCGTGGAGTGTGAGTAAAAGGATAAATAAACTCAAGAGCGGTTATTGTGGGACTAACTGACTTTATTGTTTATTTGCTGCCCTTTGATATACTGTGGAAACCTTGATGGACTTTGACTGTTTCTCTGAACTCCTCTTTTCGCACAATCTTTCCACACTAAGACTATGTGAACTGTGTGAAGAAGGTTTGATATGAATGAAACCTGTGTTGTTTGCTGTATTGTTTATGTGTTGTGTATGTTTATTATTCCTATTATTCCAATGGTGATGTGTGGTGTGATGAAATTTGTACTCTGTCATGGTGAATATAGCCTACTAAAATATTTGCATATTGAATCATAGTGGTTGGGTTTTCTTAGAGTCTACTCTTGCAACATTAAGGGTTCATGTTAATTAATTAATATGTGTCCTGTGTTTGCTTTTCCTTCTTGACGTGACTAACGACCCTAAACAAGATTATATCTTGATTATATTTTGCCAGAATATATATCTGTCTCGCACCCCAGCATAAAATGTAGTCCTTCCCAACAAAACCAACCATCAACAAACTACTTGTCTGGCCTTAAAATTTATAATACAGAATTATACATTAACTGTCGTCAATTAACTCATGAAATAATTAAAAGGGCAATAAAATCTGTCTCAAAACTGCATGCATGCACATATTTGTTATACATGCATCACATGTCTCGACTAAAATATTCTACCATGCAAGATCACAATTTAAGGCACAAACTGATAGGCTATGTCATTTTTAATGTACAAATAAATGTGAGCACTTTGCATTTGTACTAGAAGATAGGTGTTAATTTTTTATCAATTTGTAAATGACAAACAAAAATGGATCATTTTTAAATCCATAAAATAACTAATTTAACATTCTGGCATTTATGTGCTGTTGACTTCCTCCTTGTTCACATTCTTGCACATAGGGATTCAAAAGAGATGTTTTCCCCCTTTTTAATTTAGCTATGATAGAACAGTTTTGATTATTTATTTTGACAACTAATATAGAAAGTTGAAGAGTTCATTGATTATATACAATTCAATGAAGGTTGAATCATCTTTGAACTACAGTAGTTATCTGCATGTCTCATCCATGAAGGCTCAACAATGTTGGGGGTTTTGAGAACGAGAACCAAGCTAACTGAGCAAGTTGAACTTTAGCTATAGTGTGTGCTCCTTTATTAATATGCCTGGAGTAATAATAATAATAAAAAAGATCAAATTCACTCAGTACTCCATGATTACTAATTCACTACTATCTCAATTACAATTAAGTACAAATTAACTGTATTGAGTTGTGTAATATTGTGTAATGAGTTGTCAGGTCGGCACTAAAACAATCCACTACATTATTTAAACTTATGTTAAAATAATTAAGATTTCTGTGCCACCCCAGACAGATTGCTGGCCCTTGTCTGGCCACCCCTATGAAAAAATCCTGGCTCTGCCACTGGTTGTTTGGTGAAGCGCTTTCATGATGACTGCACAGGAGTTGTTTTTATTTATGAATGGGAGCGGCTGACACTCATAATTCATATTTACCCTCTGATGTCTAAGGTGTTTTTGGGGTCCTTAAGATGTTTTGACATGCCCTGACATTAGTGCTTTTTGTAGCTGCTTATAAACATGTTAATGGAAAATGTGTCATTACACTCTATTCAGCACAAACAGGGCTACCATAATATGGGAGCAACATGTATGTACATGTTGTATTTTTGAGAGAATTGTGTTTATGCATGGCACGTGGTTATTCAAAAAAAAACTAAAAATCTGAAAATCATCCTGCATAATCATTCACATAAAACAATACATTGATTGAAATTTTGTAAGAAACGTTTTGTTTTGAAAGGCAATATACACGGGTCCGTGAATGATCATGAATAATGATGTGGTTCACACCTGAGAAGACAATGACCTGCATAATGAGCCTTTCATTCAGGTGTTGAGACCACAAGAAAGAATGTGAGGACTTGTACAATATCCAAGGTAAACATTTCTAGTAACTATGCAGTTCATTCTCATACTGTATTTTCAGAAAGTTTTGTAATATATCCTCTCCCCAAATGTCACTAAAAAAAAACAATAATAAATACTTTAATGAGAAGGCTTATATCTTGTAAATATAGTTTTTGCTATTTTATTAAAATGTTTTCACATGTAAATCAACAACAGTTATATTTTAACAATATTTTAAGTGTAATCTTTTTTTAAAGTATAAATTTTATCATTCGATTTTCAAAGTTAAGGAATCATTTGTTTGAATATAGCCTACACTGAAACAAACACTATAATAACATCTTGGTTTTTTATTTTTGACAAAATATTTTTGCTCCTCGAAATGAAACTAAACCAGCACTTCTGACATAAATTTTTACATAATGTCAGAACATTATGGTTTACAAAGTGTCATTCATTGCAATTTTGGGAGTGAGTCGTGTTCCGTATACACATGAAAAGATTATTTAGGGAACAATTATTTACGATAATTTACAAACATGGAAAGATAATTTACGGGACTCATTCTCACATTTAAATGCAGTTGTCAATCCTGAAACTTTACATCCAGACAAAACGTTTAAATACATATATTCTGTAAAGAGAACATCTAAAACAAATAGCACCTTTCATTATGGTTGACTTATTATTATTTGTATTTTTTTTTTTGTCTGTTGACACACCACTTACCTCAGTATCTCCAATGTACACTTTTTATTCTTCAGTCCAGTGCAGAGCAGCTTCACTCCTGAATCCTGTAGATTATTATTGTTCATGTTCAGCTCTTTCAGATTGGTATCTGATCCAAGAACTGTAGCCAGAGCTGAACAGCTTTTGTCTGTTAAGTCACAATCATTTAACCTACAATATAAATAAATCACATAAAATAATTGGATGGAACATATAGAATACATTCTCTGTATAAAATACATAAATATTTTCCATTATTTTTACAGTAACAGTAAATATACAGTGAGGAGTGTGAGCTACACTGACATTAGAGATTGTGGGTGGTGATGGCGCAGAGGATAAGACACATGCCTTTGGTGTGAGAGACCCGGGTTTGAATCCACTGTGAGACACCAATGTGTCCCTGAGCAAGACACTTAACCATGGATATCCATAATAAAGGCTAGATGTCTCGTCCGCGCTGCTGGCCATCTTGTCACAGGCAGCTTTCTCACTTGTAACATTGTGTCTAATGGTGTATGTACTTCTTTAAATAAGCATAATTTGCTCAATTTTCTACCGATTTTCAAATGGTTTGGTTTGTTATAAACGTCAGAGATGTAGTTATGACACTGCATATGTATGAATAATAAGTGTATAAATAAATAATCATCCAGAATTATAGCCACGTTAAAAACATTTGTAAGAAACCAAACAGTTTGTAAATCCGTCAAGATTTCAACGAGATAAGAGTATTTGTGTTCGTGCTGATCACTCATCTTACATCAGCAACCACAGAGCCCGCCAGAAAGCTTGCCTGTGACAAGATGGCCACCGGTGATGACGAAAGAGACTCCGCCTTAAGACTACAGATGAAAGTTAGCTTGTAGCTAATTCTGGTATGGCTGAATTCCATACACTGACCCTGTTAAATAAATATAATAAATAAACACCTAGCCTTTATTATGGATATCTATGCACTTAACCCCTAGTTGCTCCAGAGGTGTGCAACCTCTGACATATATAGCAATTGTAAGTTGCTTTGGATAAAAGCATCAGCTAAATGAATAAATGTAAAATGTAAATATAGAGGTTAACTATTCTTTTCTATATTTTAGTATTTTTGACAAATGTACTAGATAAAACAAACAGTGCTTCATCCTTTGCCAACCGAAGTTCATGTTTTGCTGAAAATATGTGGTATATGATTAAGAATCACTATATAGCAGTGTAGATAAAGGAGATGAGACCAAAACATGACTAATTACATTAAATTACTTACAGAGCTCTTTTGGAGGTTTTGAGGATTGCCGATAATCTAATGAGACACTCGTCTGATTTCTTGAATTTCTGAAGCTCAAACTCCTCCAGCTCCTCCTCTGATGTCAACACAAAGACTAAAGCAGACCACTGGGCAGGTGAAAGGTCAGCAGATGAGAGACTTCCTTTGCTAAGGTGGGTCTGAATCTCGTTTACCAGAGTTTGGTCGTTCAGTTCATTCAGACAGTAGAACAGATTGATGGATCTCTCTGCAGGAAGATTAGCTTCTAATTTCTTCTTAATGTACTGAACTATTTCCTCGTTGCTCTGGTCAGTGTCGTCTCGCTGTGTTAACAGACCTCCTAAGAGTCGTTGAACTATTTCCTTGTTGCTCTGGTCAGTGCCGTCTCGCTGTGTTAACAGACCTCGTAAGAGTCGTCGATTGGTCTGGAGTGACAGACCGAGGAGGAAGCGAAGGAAAAGGTCCAGGTGTCCATTGTCACTCTCCAGCGCCTTGTCCACTGCAGTCTTGAGAAAATCAATCATGGTTTCATTTCTGTTTTCCTGTTCTGTAGACTCATGATCAAACACACTTGTCTTGTTGATGTCTAGAAACAGATGTGCATAAAGGGCTGCAATAAACTCTTGAATGCTCAAGTGAACAAAGCAGTACATGGTACCAAGAACGATCCCTGTTTCCTCCTTAAAGATCTGGGTACACATGCCTGAGTACACTGATGCCTTATAGACGTCAAGACCACAGGCTTCCAGGTCTGATTCATAGAAGATCAGGTTGTTTCTTTCCAGATGATGAAATGCCAGTTTCCCCAGTGAAAGGGTAGTGTCTTTATCCCAGGAAACATCTGGTGTGTATTCTCCATCATATTTCCGGCGGCTCTGCTGGATCTGAAAGCGGAGAAAGTGTGTGTACATTTGTGTCAGAGTCTTGGGAGTGTCTTCAGTGTTTGATTCCTGCAGTGTTTTAGAGATCTCATCAGCCTGAGTGTTTCTCACATCATTATTTCTCTTCTCCTTCAGAATGTTCTGGAGAACAGTGGCTGAAATCCAGCAGAAGACTGGGATGTGGCACATGATAAAGAGACTCTTTGATTGTTTAACATGATCTATGATTTCATTGGCCATTTTCTCATCTTTGAATCTTTTTCTGAAGTACTCTTGCTTTTGTGCGTCGCTGAATCCTTGTATCTCTGTCAGCCGGTCGATACAGTCAGGAGGAATCTTACTGGCAGCTGCTGGTCTGCTGGTGATCCAGACGAGAGCAGAAGGAAGCAGATTTCCCTTCATGAGGTTCGTTAGGAGAACATCCAGAGAGGCTGGTGACGATACATCACTCAACGTCTCATTACAATCAAACTTCAGGGGAAGGCGACATTCGTCCAGTCCATCAAGGATGAACAGCACTTTGAACTGATTCCTTCTTGTAAGGTTCAGTCCTTTTGTCTCTGGGAAAAACTGAGTTATAAGACCCATTAAACTTAGTTTTTCTTTCTCCTTTAAGTTCATCTCTCTGAATGGAAGAGGAAATATGAAGCTGATATCTTGATTTTCTTTTCCTTCAGCCCAGTCCAGAACAAACTTTTGCACAGAGACTGATTTCCCGATGCCAGCGACTCCTTTTGTCAGTACAGTTCGGATCTCCTGGTGTTGTTCATGCGCTTCAAACAAATGTGTGCATTTAACCTGTATCTCTTGTGCTTCATGACGTCTGGAAGCAACTTCAATCTGTCTGACCTCATGTTCAGTATTGACCTGTTCACTGCCACCCTGAGTGATGTAGAGATCTGTGTAGATGTTATTCAGGAGTGTGGAGTCACCTTGCTTTGCAATTCCTTCAAACACACATTGATACTTCTTCTTTAGGCCACATTTCAGCTGATGAATGAAGAACAGCTCATCTAAACAAAGGAACAGAAAATAGATAGTTTTAGTCTTAATTTTCTCTCCTACATTTATAAGAGACAATCAGACAGATGATGACGAGTCTCTTGCCTTCTAGAGCATCAGCAGCTTCATCTTGCTTCATCTCTCTCAGGTAATGTAGTGTGAGATCAAGAGCTGCTTCTCTGATCCAGGATCTGTTCTCATTAAAGTCCTCCACTAAGGATTGTGTGTTCTCTTTTTGTAATATTTTCTTAAACTTTTCCAGCTCATTTTTCAGTAAGGTGATTATTTTGCTCTCAAGATCCTACAAAGCAAAATAAATAATTCAAATTAAATATTTTATAAAAACAAATAAATAAAAGGACAAACTTAAACATTTTAATTAGCTGTAATTATTAATAAATAAAAATAAACTGTTTTCACATTTCATTCTTATTTTATGGGTTCTTAAAATGAAAAGTAAACGGTCAATAATAATTAGAAATGACATTTCTAGTGAGTACTTTTTCAGGAAAACATGATAAATAATCTATTATTTTTTTATAATTATTAAAGCTTTTTTTTTTTTTTTTTTACCTGGAAGATGCACAGGAGATTATCTGTGAAATTCTTGTGTTTCCTGTGAGTCTGGAAATCTGAATCTAATGTTTCATATTTAAGCCTGTTAGCAAAAAACAAAAAACTTAATACTGCATTTCCAGGAAATACTGTATATAACTAAAATCTCTAGTAATTGATTTTAGCTTAATATGTAGTAAATATTTGAAATATACAGCTTTATGTTAATTATACATTGATACTAACACAGTCTGTGACCAAAAGTAAGAAACACATGAAATACCCTTTGGTTGGTGATGGTGTTTTCTCACTGAAGTTCGGTTGGTTACCCTCCTTTGACCAGTCACTTTTCACAGACACAGAGCTGGACACATGTGAACTTGATCTATCACAGAAGAAACAAAGAAAAGAGAGAAAAAAACACATCTCTACAGAAGATACTTTAGTCTCATTATAAGAGGACGTTTAATGTAAGAAATGGTAATTAAATACAGTATAGTTGTGTATTTGTCCCTCTCATGACTGGATAGATGGTGTATTGACTTTCCAATGCCATTGCTGTTGATAAGAGGAGTAAGCAAGTTTAAGCGTACAAACAGAGTCCATGCAGACGGATGTAGATGCAAACAATTGCATACCTGCCAACCTAGAAGAAATTTGGCGTGGGGGTTGGGGTGTCATATACTTTTGGCATTATTTTGAGAATGCAAGACACACACAGACACATGCCTATCTTCTGCATAATTCTATAAAAAAATAGTCATATATTTTTGTCATTATTCTGAGAATGCAAGACACACACAGACACATGCCTAGAGGTATATAATTTTTTATAGAATTATGCAGATAAAGGTTTTTTATTTGACACAATACTAAATTTAACTTGCACTGCAATGCAACAGTGAAAGTACAAAGTTCCAATCCTGCTCAACTCCATTTCTTTATTCACGAATGATTAATATTGTATTGCATATAATCTGTGCTGGTCAATTAGTCTAAATAATAATAAAAACAACCTAGATACCAGTAAAAAAACCAACAACAAAAAACAACAGTTGTGTACATGTTATTTATTTTAAATTGGCTACTTAATTGATTATTCCAATATCCAAATATGATATTGAATCCTACAGGGAAAAGGGCTTATATTTGTGCTTTCTTTGCATTTGAACATTAGGCTACACATTATAAACAGGACACGCATTAAGCCTAGTTCACACTACGTGATTTTAAGCCCGATTTAAGCCCGATTTGCAAATCGTTGAGTCGCCGACAAGTCAGGGTGTTATCGCGTGCAAATCGCGGGCGATTAGCGGACGATTAACGCTCGCCAATCAGTTAGTGTGAAAGAGCCAACAACGCATCAAAGACAGCTCGCAGACACCTCGCAGACAGGTCACCGAGCTCAGAAAAATATCTAGCATGCTAGATATCTCGCGCAGTCGCGCGACTCAATCTCAGTGATGTCATGAGTACAGCCAATCATAGCAACGCATGGGTTGAGGACACCAGGTAAATCTTACTTTTTCTTTTTTGCATTTTTTTTTCTCAGAGCATATCGTCGAGCAAACAGTGTGCAGCACTAGTTTCTGTCTGACGTCCATATTCGCGTGTTGTGTTCTTTTCTGCAGTTTCGCGTCATTTCTGGTTCGTTTTATTGCGTGGTTTTTCGTTACAAAACATGGTTTCTAGACCAGATAGAATCGTGTTGTTGTGAACTCGTTATTTGTTTGATTATTTTCAGGATTTAGACCGTATTATAGTACTGAAACAGCTCTCATTGAGTCACAAATGATATGCTCTTATCATCCGATCGTGGTTGTATCTCTATGCAGTGCGTTGTTAACTCGTGTAGTGAGTTACCTCCTGTTGTGGATCAATCCCGTTGTGTTGTGTGGTGTGAACAGCTAAACAACTTGAACACTCATGATTTCACTGAGAGCAAGTCATGTAGTGTGAACTGCACAGTTCAGCCCGACATTTTAAAATCATGTAGTGTGAACTAGGCATTAGCTGAGTAAACTTTAGCCAATCCAAATAAATTTCTAGAAAACAGTTAACAATGAATAGACAGGAGTCCTGTCACAGACCAAAAATATAATTGATCAAATAAGACGAATATCCGACATAACGAGGGCTGTTAACAGTAAAACGATTTGTAAAAACACGAATAGACAAGACAAAAAGCTTTGACATTATTTTGACAAAGAAAACACAAGCAAGAACTTTGCCTGTCAATTTTTATAAATATCTTTTCTCTGTGTGTGAGCGAGTCGCAGCGCAACAGATCATACAGCGGTCGTTTTTAATCCATAAGTACGCCAACTAACTCTAGTTTTCATACAAAATAAATACGTAACATAATTCTGTACTTTAGTTATTAACATAACGTAACACATGCAGGCTATGTTTCTCAAAAAAAAAAAAAAAAAAAAAAAAAGCCCGTATCTCCAGATTCGCTCTTTACGTTATCAGTCATCCACAAACCACAGCACTTTCATAATCACTAAGACATAGCGATTTCAATTTTATTCAGATTTATTGCTCAACATTTGAGCATTTTATAATTTGCATAGCTGAATGTCTTCCTCTTATCTGAGTTACCATGAATGAATTACGGAGTATTTTTTAAATAATCCTTGCGATCCCGTCCCGTGTGATAAACAACCAATCAATTATAAATGAACTCAAATTCAATATTTCAACTTTCCACATCCTCCCTAGCCCGTTTACCTTCAGGAGAAGTATCGTGAGTACTGTAGGCCTACTGTCCTCGCTTAAATCAGTCAGACCCGGGGCGCGTGCGAGTGGAAGTGGGATCGAGCAGGATTCTTTATTGGTGTCGATTTTCAGTCTCTTTTTAATTATAGGACTTACACATCTGTCAATCATCTCCGCTTGCAATTTGGGGAATGAACCCAGCGCTATGATTGGTCGAACCTCTTCTCTTGCATCAGAGCCAATACATGGCTCTGTCTTGCATTTGCTTTTTTTTGAGGACTGCGCGTGCAAATAGGCGTCACCAGGTTTTTGCGTAGAGTGACAAATCGTACCAGCGTACTTTGAGGTCAAAATGTGTGCCCACTACGCAAAATGCGTACATGTTGGCACTGGCAGGTATGCAAATGTCTTTCTTTATTCCTTGTGCTCTATTAAACATGATCTCAAAACTTGTCTTAAAACTTCTTGTGGCCTTTCCTCATTAACACGTACGGTACACACAAATACCTTGTGGACAGCATAAGAAATCCACCTTGCGAGACACTCTGCTGTGCGGTCAAAAAAATTATAAAAATTAAATGTGCTTCCCAATTACCAACACACACACTTGTTGCTCAGGTCCTCTAATTATACACAGCCTTTACCATCCAACAAATGGCTCCTACAGATGGATTTATTCATGTTTGGTAGCATGATATTTTCTGGTAAATTTATGCCCCCTAGTGGCGTTCTGTGTAATTGTGTTACTGGAGAGAAGCTCCAGACTGAGTTCAGTAAAAAGGAAATCAGACTTTTGTTTTCTGTGAATTATAGTTGTATTTAGTTAATTTCATCACACTGTGTAGAAATTATAACTCTATAATGTAAAAAACATAAAAATACTTTTTGATAGTCTTCTCACTGAAGTGCGGTTGGCCACCATCCTTTGAGCAGTCACTCTTCACAGCCACAGAGCTGGGGCTCGTTCTTCGTACCTCGCTAACTCGGTTAGCTGGATTTGATTGTTGGCGATTTGGCATGATCTTGGATCATTTGGTTCTTCGACGCTCATCCTGGACTTTCTGTCATAGCAACAGGTGAGCCAGCTTGAACCTGCTCGCGAGCAGGCTTATTTCATGTAATTTAAACAGGATTAGATAGCGGCGTGAGGGTGTTGTTTATACTTTATTTTGTTGGAAATGCACATTAATGTTCGATTCGATGCCGGGCTTCAACAACAATGTGTTCATTCAACAAAAATGTTTGCATCGCCCTAAAATTCTTTGCGAGTGGCTTCCTTTACACTATTGGAGATGCGGAGAAGCTTTCTGTCATGCCATTCGCAAAGTTTACCTAGCGCTCTTAGTTTTTTGCAAACTTAGGGTATATTATAATTTTTAATGAAGATAATGCAATCACCGTGCCGATTATGACTTACAGTCCCTCAGGCTTAACTTACGTGATTGGTGCCATACACTGTAGACTACACACGTACACGTTCCCCTCAATGAAGGGATTTTGTGAGGAGAAAGGGGGCTCACAATGTAAATGTGTAAAAATTACTATTGTAATGTAAAAGTTATAATGTAAAAGTTACTATTACAATTTTTTTATATTCCAGATTATAATATTATATCAATATTTTTTAAAAGGCATTTGACTGAGTAAAATCTCTTAGATGGTGTGTGACCATGTTCCATATCACAAATCAGTGTGAAAGCAAAATGGCCAGGATCTCTGCATGACTCAAGAATTTTAAGAGATTCACATTTATGCACATTATTTGAACGTGGTAAGGAAAATTATAATTATCAAACTCTCGGTATTACATACACTTATGCTGAGAACTGCATTTTTCCATTATACAGGCGATAACAACAGGATCCCGCATGGAGGAGACAGGTGTTTTATGACCCCATTCCCTGACCCAAACCCCAGACCAGTTACAATGCAGCTCTAGGACAAGAGCACACAATGACATGAGCTTTGGCCAACTAAAGGGAAGATTTCAGGGTCTGAAAAGCCTGAGGGTTGCACTTGACAGGGCCTGTGACATGTGCCATATTACACAACATTGCCAACATCAGAAACATAAAAAAAATAAAAATTATTAAGCCTAAAATAAAAGACAAGACAAATTTGCAAAATGCTTAGAGTTTTATTTCAATAGTTCTTTATAAAGAAAAGCCAGTTATTCAGTCATATTTTTAAAAGAGATATTAAGGTCAGCAATAGTACTCTGTGTGAAATAGGCCTAGTGAATTTTACTCTGAAGTATATTTTGAAGCAACTCTATTTCTAGTGCAACTTAGTCAAGTTCTGTTTCTCCCCCTGATTTTTGTTTTTTCAAAATACTATATTTTCTGTTGAAGACACATATAGGGAACGTATTTCACCCTGTGTCGTTTGTGTCACACATGCCTCATGCAACAAATAAAAAGGAAAGGTTGTCTCTACACTGCCCACCCCTATATCACTGCTGTGTGCAGACTCTTCTGTAGGCCTTTCTGTACATGTGGACTCCTGTCAGAAATAATAGGCATAGGCACAAGTATAAATCAATTAAAGCCATCAATTAAATTAAAGTACTTCCTCCAAAGGACAGTCATCTGAGAAGTTTTCTTCACTCTCAAGTGCAATGTGATTGATAACTCATGGCAAAATATTTTTACATTAACATAAGTTTATCAGTTTGTACTTTCACAAGACAAAGCAATTTATCATTACTTAAGATTTAACAGTTGAAATGACTAAACCAGCCAATTCGGATTATAGGTCTAATTCGGATTATAATTCGGATTTAATGCAGCAACAAATTATTTCACAGTGTACAAAGATAATTTAAATCTCATTTCCCAGTAATGAAGGTGCTGCTACTGGTCCCTGATGTGGGTCTGGAAGAGCTGAAATTCACATCCAACCCAAGGGTCAGCTCTTCTGCCAGGGTCAGGAGCATCATTATTATTTTTTTCTCAGCCTTTTTCCTGGTTGCTTTTATAAACAGACAATTATTTATTTAACAGTGCCTTTTTAAAAGAGACTAGTAGGCCTATAAGGCCTAGTAAAATTACCATTAGGCCCAAGTAGAATATTTTTGTAGTTCACTTTCACCATGTCCATTATTATAGTGTGGTGACTCGACATTACAATGAACAAAGTAATTATGAAATTATGAAAATAAAAATAAAATAATAATAATAAGTTATTAAAACATCTAACATGGCCACCACAAACGCATTTAATTTGTCTTCTAGTTTTGCCAGCACTCTCTCCTGGCTTTTGCACACTTTGAGGTGTTCCTGGCGTTTTAATTAAAGACTGAAATTCGGCATAACCTTGCATTAAAAGCGTTTGCTCTGCTTGGTAGAAAAACTGGGCGTGTTCTTTGGCCATGCTGAACAGCCAATAGCAGCGCTGCTGATCACTGGTTCTGTTATCGATACATGTCCCCTTTTATACCAACGCGAGAACGCGCGCAGTTATCTCAGATAACTCAATCCAGCGATACTAATCATAAACAACAGGTGTGTTCCAAGAACCCAATTAGCCGGATCATGATTAGCACGATGATATTATCTTGGATGTCTCATTTGATCTCGGATGTTTTAAGCAACGTACGAAGAACGAGCCCCTGGACACATGTGAGCCTGATCTTTCACTAATAACAAATAGAGACAAGATAAAGTTTAATTACAGAAGTTCATCAGTGTCTGGCACAAACTCTCGGTCCTTCACAGATGGAATGTGATGAAGCTTTTGCACTGAAAACTTTTTGGAGAATTTTTTACATTCATTTTAATTTTAAAAATCATTGTACATTTAACACTTTAGTACTGCAATGTAACACTTCTGCTGAAGGAGAGGCAGAAAATATTGATTTAGACTGTAAATATTAATTTTCCTTTTCAGATTTAAGATGGTTATCATCTACCGGCCACAAAATAATTTTATTTTATGTTATTTTTTTATAAATAAGAAGTTCTGCAAAGCGTTTGCAAAAACAATGCTTAGTTCTTCACAGGAAGAATCTAAAACTTCAGTAGTTTAAAATGATTGTGAAAACAGTCGCAGTCTTACCTCTGTTCCTCTGAGAGACTCGTCTTAGAGAGAGAGTCATTTCCTCGCTCCTCTGACATACTGCAGCTAAACTAACATTGGAAACAGATCAGCACTGGTTTCAGTTTGACCTGGAGATGGCAAAATATGTTCCTGAGATTAATAACATGGCATAAAATAACAGAATCAAGAAAATAATGAAGAATGTGAAGTTAGCAACAACAAACACTACAACATAAATTGAGTCATGGCTCTAAATGTAGTGAATAGACATTAACACTGTGTTCAAATCATTGAGAGGGAAAATTTGTTACAGTCTCTATTGCAGTTTAGTATCATTTTACAATCATATTTATTGATTCATGAATTGTTGATTCTTTTGTCACTTGATCATTATTTCAAGTTCACAATATATTTAATCATTTTCAAATGCTCTCCTCAATACGTGTATCATTCATTGTTTTTTTTTTTTAATATTGAAAGTAGAAAAATTAAAAAAATTAAAAAGAACAAGAATTCAGCTTGCTTAAGGGTACAAAAATGCAATACACAACAGGACTACATGGAGATGCCAACTGCCCCCTATACCAGCTGCCTTAACCTTACAGCAAAATACAAATGAAATATTAAACATTTAGAAAATGGCGACCTGAAGGCGGCTCGAGATCATCAGTGAACAGTTTCTCTGTCAGAGTCAGCGTTTGTGCCTGTGCTTGGAGTGATGTCTGATGTCGTTTTGTGTGTGTGTGCATATTAGCATTAAAATATATTGTTTCCGCATTAAGGGAAGTGATAGGTGCCATCAAAAAACTTATAAATATGATCCTGAGTAGTCGGGGTCCGATCTGCACCGGTGGTCCGCAGTGTGTGTTCGGCAATGAGGTGCTAGCAAATGATAACATATGAGACCATACAAACTCCAGTGTCACATTAAAACTGAGCACACAAATTTAGTGAATAAGCCAGTTTTTGAGAGGAAGCGTGATGATTTGCAGTCACAAAAAAGCAGAATACAGTTGTTGTGCACTATTAACATGAAGGCGACAGAAGCATCTCATCGTGTCACGGATAGCGAAGGCAAACCCCATAACATCGGCCAAACACTTCATTACATTACACATGTCAAGCATGTTTTGTTAACTTGTGGTTATAGGCTTACTGATGTTTAGTGATTTTAAAAGTAGCCTCAATTGTATGGGATTACCTTTGTTCCAATTAGTGTTGTCACGATACCAAAATTATTGTTTCGATACCAATACCAAGTCAAGAATTGCGATTTCGATACTTTTTCGATACTTTTCCTGAAAAGAGTTGGAAAAGTATTTCTATAAGTATCTCCTGAAAGTATTTCTTACAAGGCGTTTCACATGCACCTCCTTTGTGTAGGTCTGTGTGCTCTTTAAATGTTAAATAACCTAATATAAATAAATCACTGACAAACATGCACATGCTCTGATTATAATCATATAGCATAGATCATTTTAGCTGGTGTTATTTTAGCAGCTTGCTAATTATTTATGCTATCTATGAAAGTTTGGGGGGAACTTGTACACCTAATACAAAAATAAATAAAACATCTCCAACTAGCAGATAATTAATTTAGTTCACTATTAAATAAGAGATATATTGCTAAAATCTGTTGTTGTTTTTTAATCAAGCTCTTTTTCGCTGCCATCAGTTGCACGGATACAGTGTCTTTTGCGGCTCACGCACAATCTTCACTCGGAGTGGGCACGCGCTTCAATCTATCGTTGCGGAGACTATTGTGTAGGCCTACAGGCCGCCAGATGGTGTTGCTAAGAACTTGCAAATTATAACTATCAGACCGGCCCTCGCGGCCTCGAAACACTCCCAGTCCACCGGGAAGAGTCCTGACTCGCTGTGAACTGCCTCTCCTCTACTGACCGACGGCCACAGTATCAGTTGTGCTCGCTCGCGCATGCAGCTGTCTCACTGTAGTGTTTGTCTCATGACAGCTGCAGCTTCTTTGCTGTGTGCGTGAGGAGAAACCATAGACTGTAAAAAAAAATGGACGACGCCCCTTCGCTCTTTTCCATCAGAGAGAACCGAAGCTGCCAGTGTCTCGATATGACGCTGACATCTTGGGACCCGAGTCTGCGCACTTGCGTGTTTCGGTACCAGTCATGCGCAGTCGTGAGCAGGAAGTAAAGCCGCGAAATCAAGGCCGCGCCCTCATTCTCGCTGATTCAAACGCAAGCACACGCCCCGCACTTTCATTAAGTGTCCTCTGTCGCTTCGTTCTTCTCCAATGATGTCCGCTGATTGCAGAACCTCGTTAAAATAAGGTAAATACAGCTACTAACCACATAATCAACATTATTAAAAAAGTCCGCTGGTGCAAAAAAACACACTGATTTTAAAAACGAACACTTGAAATTACATTGCATTTGCACCATCACAATTAATGATAATTTAATTAAGAGGAATTTACACCACATGAAAATTACAATCTGGCTTGCTGTCCGATGATGCATGCCAGGGCATTTCATTATATATTTTACACAAAGAATGGGCCATTTTTTTTTTTATCATGCTGATAATTTTATTTAGCCTTTTCATTTAGTTAATATTATCTGCTAACATTTAAAATTAGAAATACATTTATCAACAATTTCAACCGTGATTTATAAAACCTGTTGAATAAATGTAATTGAAAATATGATTTAATTCAAATAAAATGTAAATTCTTTGTCACTACAGCATATACACAAGTAACAAAGTGAAAGTCTTGCAATTGTGTTGTGACAGGAAAGAACAGAATCATTACCTGCATACAATAATGCACAGTATTCTCTTGATATACATTACTATACAAAATGCACAAGAATAAGGATAAATTTCATATACATTTTTCCCCACGAGAGATATGTCAGAAAGGTGAACGAAAACTTCAGATGCATTTATGAAATATCTGGAGGGTATTTGTAAGTTCAGATCAGCGAAAGAAAGATGTGAAAACAATTACAGCTGTACAGGGGGCTCAGCTGTCCTAACCCAGTGTAAGGAGAAGCTCACATTCACCCAATTTGATTATTACAGTTAGAAATCAGTAGAACATCTGTGACAATAAATCAAGTGGGCCCACACACTCACCCATGTCTCTCATTCAGTCACAGTCTTAAAGAAAATAAATTGTTGCAGGTCTGTGACGTGGATTGAAAGCTTGATGGCCAAAAAACAAAAACAAAAAACACAATGGCCGCTTCACTTTTAAAGAAAACAGAAATAGTTTAAAGCGCTTGGTAGTACTCACCGTCACGACGTGAGGAGATATCCAGTTGCCACGATCGTCAGGCCCAACTGTACAAGTTCAGTCAGCAACAGTTTAGCAAACACGGAAACCGGTGAAGAACGGGCCTACTCGACGCCACAAGTCCATGGACGAGGAGGTTATCAACATATAACTAAAAAAACACCTGTTCTAGGGAAGCTCTGCGAGATCCCGAAGCGCATATGATTTGAAACAGTGATTCAAAACACCCACGTCATGTGACTACGGCTAAATTAAGCTTGAGTGTTTCAACAGGTGGCCCGCTAAATCAGGGTTTAGCGGTCAATGCATTTTCACATCGTGGGTTTTTGAGAGAGGAGTTTGGTTTTGAGATACCAGATTTTTTTTGATATAGTGACATAGTTCGATTTGTTTAGTTATATTTTAGGCTTCCATTTAAATTTACACATTGACTGAGAGACAGACAGAGTACATTGACACATTAATAGATGCAAGGATAGAAAAATATTGATGATAGATAGATAGATAGATAGATAGATAGATAGATAGATAGATAGATAGATAGATAGATAGATAGATAGATAGATAGATAGATAGATACTCCTAAATCGCACCAAAGAACGTATATTGACAAGAAGTGAAAGCCAATAAAACGTTCCATATCAACACCAGCGCCCAGCAGCAGCCCTACGCTTCCGCCATTTCGGGGTGAAAGCGACTCGGCAGTCATATAACATATATTTAGTCCAGTGCAGAGATAATTTTTAGGTTGAAATAATTAGGCTAGGTGATTCTTATTTAACTCACAACAGTTAACTTTATAGCAGTTAAAAAGAAGTTGCTACTTAACCAGGCTTTTACCCCCACATAACTTGAGACAGGGAAGTGCAAGGATTTAATTCATTATATTACTATCCACATTAAGTATGATAGGTAAGAATAAAGTGATATCAGTTCATAAAGTTATAATAACATTAGACCGTTTCCCGGGAGGTACACATAACGTTACTTACAAAAATAAGTTATCAATGAAATAAATTAATTCAGCAAATAAATGTTGTACTAAAATGTAAATGTTTGACAATAAATAGCCTATATAAAAGCAATAGAATAGCTCTACAGTAAACTTTTTTTTTTTTTTTTTTTTTTTTTTTTTTTTTGCAGTAGGCTACTAGCCTTCTTATATTAATGACCGTTAAAGCAAGACCTGTAAACAAACATAAAAACCCAGCCAATGTCCAAAGTGGCAATTAGTTATAGGATAATGGACACAGCGCATCAATGATCATCATGTCCGTAGCATGATCCAGGGAATTAAAACGTCCAAAATATATTTCAGGCCTAGTGGAGTTGGTAACTAATAGTAGTAAAAGTGTAAAGTTGCATACAATGGAAATACTCACTAATGCAAGAAAAAACTACCTCAAAAAACTGTTATCTGTGCTGTTGTCCAGTAACTCCAGTTGGAATTTTCACCCCGATATGGCGGCCGCGCTCCTAAAGCGCCATCTAGTGGCTGTTACCAAAAAAGCATCAGAGTTTCGCCTCTTGTTCTTCTATACTCTTTGGTGTAGGGACGGGGAAATGAAGCCTCATAAAGCTCAGAATCAGTGATTCACAGCTGAGAGTGTTGAGAACAGCGCCACCTGGTGGATAGATAAAGATAAAGCAGACAAAAGTGTGTGGTCAACCTGATGAAAAAGACACCCTCCATAGATAGTCAGCGCTGTGTGCACAAATAACAGCCTAACACGTGTGTGTGTGTACAACACAACATAAATCAAGTTAACGGTGATTAACAAGGTAAATTAATAGCAATTTCCAATAAAGATATCAAATCCTACTGTAAATCAATGGTGAAAATTAGTGTATTGGTCTTTCTCACCTGTTTCTTTTCAAAATACATTTATTTAATGTCTGATATGTAAGTGATATTTGTAGCTTACATTAAATGATATATAAAGTAAAACGTATTGACGTTTAAATTAAGGTAAAATGTGTTTACTTAGCGTTGTATCGTAGATACCAAGGAAAAACTCAGAGAAACCAGGAACTTCGGGATGGTCTCTTAGGGCTCATCTCCAGCAACAAGGTGCGTACCATTCGACAGGGTCCCTACGCAGTGTTCACTGCTCCCTACTCCCTGAACACGGTATATCAGTTGAAGTGGACTTCACTGACTTCCTGTACAAGTGATGTATCGATGTTCCCTTATTCCCTATGCCGTTTGCAGTGCCCTTCGAACTGAACATGTTCGTTCCCTTCGAATTGGAGATGGCGAAAGTCCACTTACGGTCGAATGGAACGCACCTACACACACACACTGCGCGTTTTTCTCTGCTTTCAACGGTGCAACAGCCCACAACACAGTGCGCCACCGCCCCCAATTGGACAAACCCAATATCACCCAGTATCAACAACACTTAGAATAATGACTGAAAACTTGAAACATTAGCATCACTTTATTGATCAATATGATGAAAAACTGTATTGTTAAATGCAGCATTCTCTACTTAATATAATAGTAAAAAAGACAGAATCCGATAAAAAAAAAAGCAATTCAAGTGGCAAGTTCAAACATGAGGAACACATCGCATGAAACATGAGATGCTTCCTCCAGCCTCATAGAAACAGTCGTGTCCACAGTATCCTTAGAAGTCTTCAGAGCCATTCTGCAACACACCCTTTGCCCTCTTCCTCTGTAGCCTTCGTCACAGTCTTTGTGTAGTCTCACCATGGACACATCTGGATAGACTGAAACCCTGTACAGGTTTCTAAAATTTTCACTGAATGCCTTCCAGTTCAGGACACCTTAAAAATGTTATCATTCATCCATTATGTAAGACTACACATGTGAGGTATTAATGCACTGATATAATGAAGAGTGTTGAACATTGAATAGTGAGCTAATCTCACTGCTAAAAAAGGTTAAATCATGTTTCTATTTAAATCTAGTGGTCTGCAGAAGTTTTTAGGGTTATGAAAATTATACAATTATAAATATTACATTAAAATTGATATTAAATATAACAAACTTAGAAAGCAATGCTTTTTATCGATTTTTTTAATGTAACAACTTTTATTCATCAAGGATGAATAAACATTAAAACATTTAAAACATTGAACATTAAAAAATTGGTAATACGAAATGTTTCTTGAGCAGTAAATTAGTCTGAACCAAAATTGACTTCATGACATAAGTCTTAATGGGACAACAGAGGTGGTTGGGAGCATTAGAGGGACAGTTCACCCAAAAATGAAAATTCTGTCATTAATTACTCACCCTCATGTCGTTCCAAACCTGTAAACTTTTCGGGTAACAGTTTAAAATAAGGTTCATTAGTTAACTACCTCAATTAACATGAACTAAAAATGAACAGTATTTTTATTCATTAACATTAACTGTAACAAATGGATTACTACTTGTTGGTTCATGTTAGTTTATATACATAATGTTAATTAATTAACCTTATTGTAAAGTGTTAACGATTTTCGTTCATCCTCGGAAACACAAATTAAGGTCGTTTTTATGAAATTCTAGGGCTTTCTCTTCCTCCATTGACAGCTACGCAACTACCACTTCTAAAAGACACTTCTAAAAGAGATTGAAACCCTAATCCAGATTAATCGAACGGTTAATTTTCTGAAGAGACTCGATCGCTTTATATGACAAACCTCATTCATTGGTTCTTGCTGAAGCTCAATTGTGTTGCGTAACACGAGAATGAACCTCATTGGTTCTCACACATCAAGCGAATATGTTTGAGCTTGCGTTTACGTGTGTTGATGAATGTTTATAAAAGCCTAAATTAAATCTCTTCATCATATAAAGCAATATAAAGACAATTTAGACTAAACTGCTCAATTCTTATGAATTTCACTATCTCTTTATGAACTTTTCGAAGCATAAAATATTTCAGAAAAAGATTTTCATTCTGTTCGAAATGTGAACGAAAGCCTTGTGAGTTTGTAACGACACGAGGGTGGTGAGTAATTAACGTGTTTATAATTATGCTCTTGCAAATTATTTAACTCAAACTTTCCAACTTGTATATTTTAGTGTAATAAATAAAGTTTAAATAGCTAATCCAATACCAATGGAAAAATCCTTTAGGCTTTATGTCGAATGAATATCACATGAACAAACAGAAAAAAAGGCCTCATCGTATCCGTTAGTGTTATCAACATGAAGAAGATATCTGTGGACTTTTAACACTAACCCGTTTTAAACAGGTTTCCCCAAGTATTTCCCTGTCTCTGCCAATGTTCCAACAAACAAAGGTTGCACCGCCCAAAAACTCAATGGTTGAGACATGCTGCTTTGATAGCATGACACACTCTCAGTATTTACACGTTTGGGGAACTGGCCTTTAAATGCAGTTGATTTGAATCTGCATATTAAATTGTAATATTATAAAATGTGAATACTTTACAATTATATAAAGCTTCTTTATGACCAGAATGCAGACAAAACTGACAAATTGCATCATAGAATTTCCATTAAAACACAATTTTTGGACAATATACCATGATGGTAATAATACCATGGTATTCTTTTTAGTACTGTACAGAGCTATTCACATTATTGTTGTTAACTGCAACTAAAACAGTTTACATAAGTAGTAATAGGATGCACTTTATGTCAAAAAGATGATTGATTGACAGGTGACCCGCCCCTTCCCGCCCCTTCCCGCCCCTTTCCCACGCCCCTTTTGGCATAGGATGAAAGGGTTGAATCTAGAGCAAAGGAGATAAGAGGTGATAAAAAGTATCAAAATGAGATAAAAAGTATCAAAAATGAGATAAAAAGTATCAAAAATGAGATAAAAAGAGAGCCATCTGTGTTAGCGAGATAAGATCAAAAGGCATCAAATGGATTTGACAGTTAGTTTTATGACCTATTGACCGCCTAGCCTTGATAATGTCCTTTTTTAACATTTGTTTTTATTTGTAAAGATAAGATTAAATGGATCAAATTGAATTTGACAGTTAGTTTTATGACCTGTTGACCGCCTAGCTTTGATAATGTCCTTTTTTATTATTTGTTTTTATTTGTAAAGATAAGATTAAAGGGATCAAATTGGATTTGACAGTTAGTTTTTTAACCTATTGACCCTTCTAGGTTTGATAATGTAATTTTTAACAGTTGTTTTTAATTGTAAAGAT